TTAATTTAAGCAAAAAGTCTCATATATATATATATATTTATGTTTCCATTAATATTGTACATTAAAATTTATATTTATATTAATAATATAAAAAGAATATCTACCGGACAGATAAAGGATAGATTTCTAGTCATACTTCTCGTGAATTTTGTTTATTCTTATCTACAAAGCATTATCTCGAATGCATCACATGTTACAACAATATAATCGAGTTAGAAAATATATTTCAACCCTAAGATAACGGAAGGCAAGATAATAGCAGGCCACGATATTTTCGTAAATCAGCTTCAAACGTATTCAAGATTTATAATGTATTTTAATTTTTTTCTTTCTTTTTTTTATCTATTAGACGAAGACTATAATAAAGACTCTCTGATTGGAGAGTATTATGATAATATCATATTCGAAGAGAGATGTGCGTGAATTAATTATCGGAGAACTTCGCGTCCAATGTTCCGCTTTTTACCGGCGTGCACTACAGGAACTGTTTTTTAGCGCGGAAACGCGGAAAATAAATATTAAATAAAGAGATAATTAGTTAATTTGAGTACCTATTATATACAAAATGACATATTCGCCACAAATATTATAAAATTAGATATTAAAGCTGGAAAATGAATGTATGTTCCCTTCAAATATTATATATATATATATAACATATTGTATATATATAACACAAGTAATAATAAATTATCTTTATTTCAATATCGATATATAGTTCCATTTTTTCAAATTCCAATTAAATTAAATAAAAAATATCTGATGTAATTTAGTTAATAAAAAAATCTATTATAATTTATAAATTAAATTTCTGTAATATTAATATTATGTGGCGATAAATTACGCTAAAAATAAGTTAATAAAACTACAATAGTCAACTAGAAGAAAATTATCTAAAGAAATAATCATACGTTGCCAAAACTTTTATAGAGACCTAATTGAATCGCACTTTGGAAGGAACATAAATCTTTATGTTTTTCGGATGTGCCCGTTTTACGCGGGAAGACATGCTCGGATTTAAGATCCAATTGAAAAATCTGGCATACAAAAATATACTCTGTAAAATCTAACAGATCTTTTTACAGCTACGGGACATTTGGCAAGCAAACAAAACAAGACTATGGACGTAATATTAAAATGTTTCGGCGTCGTCACAGTCGCGCGTGTCGTGTCCAAACATCTCGCAGGTTTCACAATATGGCCTTTCCACGGATTGCTTCTTCGGAGTTTTTACCGTTCTCTCGGCGCTCTCCATAAAATCCTGGGCTTGTCGGGGACAGTCTTCCGTCTCGTGCAGATCAAACTGATCGCAAATATCACAGAACATACGGGGCGCCGCCGTTCGTTTGTCCAGCGTGCTTCGAGTATAGTCCTCGGCCTCGTTTGCGGGGACCCCCATCTCGAGAACCTCGATCTTACATAGCAAACTCTCGTTCTTACGTTGCATGTCAACTATTATAGAATTTAAGAAATCTATTTGACTCTTTGCGGTGTCGTTCTCCTCTTGCAGTTTCGTAATGTCGATATCCCTCGCGACAATGTGCTGCTTCGTGTCGCCCGTCCCATCATACGTGTTCTTCAGATTTTCATGCGATAACTTCAACTGATTCGTCGCCTCCATCCATTTCGCAGTGACTTGCTTGTTCTCTTTCTCTAGCCGATTTAGCTCATCCAGAAGTCGCTTCTCTTCCATCTTGGCTACATTCAACTTCTCCTGCAAATTTTGCACGTTTTTGTTCACCTCTTTCTCATTGTTCTCCATGATTTTCGCCAGATTGGCTGATTTCGTTTCCTGTTCTTTTAACTGCTTCTCGAGTGTGTTCACCGAGTGCTGCAACTCATAAATTCGCTTGTTAGCGCCACTCAACTCATTCTGCTTCAACTTGATCTCCTCGTTCCGTGTCTGTTGTTCCGCCTTGACTCTTTCCACTTGCGCGTCTTCTAGAACTTTTACCTGCGCCTTTAATTTACCAATAATAACTTCTTTATCATCTAAATTGGTTTTGTGCTTATCGACAGTGTCTTGCATCAATCGCAACTTATCCTCCAACTCTTTATTTTGTTTATTTATGTCTTCAATCTTCTTCTGCTTAGTTACAACTTCGGACTCTAACGAGTTCCGCAGTTTCAGCATTTCTTCCTCCTTGGAAGATTCTGACTCTTTTATCTTAACTTCTGTTTCTGTTCGCAGCTTCTCTTTTTTATCTAACTCTTCGTGCAAATTCGATAACTGAGTCTCCAGTGACTTCACTGAGTTTTCCAAAACAGCCTTAATCTCGGACAATTCATTTATTTTACTTTGTTTCTGTGTGATCGCCTCTTGTGCGTTCTTCAATTCATTATTATTACGAGTATGTTCTTCTTTCATAGAAGAGATTGTAGTATTCAATTCGACTATTTGAACCTGCGATTTTTCCGTTTCCGCTCTCGTCTTTGATATTTCATCAATTTTGTCTTTAATCGTTTCTTCGGCATCTTTCAATTTGCTCTTCAACTCTTCTACCGTACTTGTCATTGTATTTAAAGATGTTGTTAAATTTTTATTGATAGTTGCTTTATCGTTAACTAAGGTATCATGCATTTTCCGTAATTCCGACAATTTATTTTCCACTTCCTGAAGTTTCAAATCTTTCTCCTGCAGTAAATTCTCTAATTTTGAAGTTTCGTCCGACTTGGATTTCAATTTCTCTGTCAATTCCTCGATCGACCAACGATTCGCGCTTTGATCGGCCTCTAGTTTACTCTTACATTTTTGCAAATCTTTAATGTCATCACGCGAAGTCGACAATTCGGTCGATAAATCAGTAATTTTTTTCTGTAACAAGGATGTCTCTTCTTGATAAGAATTTCGCAGGGTTTCGCATTCTCCATGAAGATTGATAATTTCTTCATCCTTCTTTGTCAATTGCTCCGTAAGGTTAGTGACTTGGTCAGACTTTTCCTTCAAATTTATCTTTGCGCGTTCACTTTCTTCCATCTTTAACGATAATTCACTCATTTCTTGTTCATATCCGCATATCTTCTTGACATAATCTGCATTTGATTTTTTAGCGTTATCTATCTGTGATTCCAAATTTGATTTCTCTGAGCGTAGTTGCTCAACTAACGTAATATTTTTATTTAACTCCGCCTCGGTATTGGAGAGTTTTCCCTCTGTTTGTTTCAGCGCAGTTTCCGTTTGAAATATCTTCTCTCGAGTTTGGTCCAATTCCTTTTCTTTTCTTCGCAAATCTTCATTGTATCTCGACAGCTGTTCTGATGAATCGGCGGAAGTGCTAATCGCGCTCGCTATATCGGATTCCTATAATTAAGTTTAGATCATTAATTCAATGGATTAGTAATTTATTATTCATGAGAAGATTAGTAACTAATTATTCTATACTAACCAGTTTTTCCTTCTGTAACGAGAGTTGCGATATTTTTTCTTCCGCTCTCGCGACTTGTCCATTTAATTTCTGCATTTTTGACTCAAATACGCGAAGTTCGCTCTCTAAATTCGTTTTTGTTTGCTCAGATAATGTGAGGGCGTCTTGCAATTCTAAAAGATTTCAAACAAGCCATGTTATGTTTATATTCACATATTCGTAATTAATTTTACAAATTTAAATTGAGAACTAAGCAAACTTCAAATTTATACCTGTAGTCTTCTCGAGAAGATGTTTAATCTCCTCATCTTTGCTCGCTATAATTGCTTTCAAATCGGCGATATCTTTCTCCAATTTAACGAGCATCATGGCTTTTTGCGAAACATCTGCATTTATCTCGTCAATATATTTGACTTTGTCATTAATTTGGGCCTCAAACCGTTTAGTTATTTCTTCTATTTGAGCCACAGTAGCATTTCGTAATTCCGCGAGTTCTTTGTCTTTTACTTTCAATTCTTCATTCAATTTGTTTAATCGCACGACAGATTCCTCCTCCGAAGCGATTAAGCTAGCTAGATCTTGCTCCTGGATTGATTACATAACATGAAAATACCATTGCGAATGTCACATTCGTGCGAAATAAAAAAAAAATATTCTTACCAATTTTTGCTTCTCATGAATAATCCTGACATTGTCGTCATTCTTAGACCTATAGTCTTGAATTTGTTTTGACAACACGCTATTGCTGTCTTCAGCCAATTTAAGCCTCGTATTTAGCTCTGCAAAATATTTGTGATATAATCAATGAAATCTTAAGTCGTAATTTATTTTTCATTGTTACATACTTTATCATTATATATTTTTATAAAAATACAAAATAATTTGCACAATGAATTAAATGCTGGATTATCACAAATATTTCATCGAAAGTTATTCTCGTAGAATGTCATTCGATACTCGTAAATTCTACACAAGTAAAACAACCGAAAGATTAAATTTGTTAATTATTCAAATT